AGAAGTTGAATAGAGGAGGATGGCTTGGCCAAGGAGACTGAAGAGAAGCTTCTGGTAAAACCAGGACAGTGAATGAAGATGCGCACACCCACCCACTCACCCACACCCTGAGATCGGCTACATTAAAAGCTGCCGAAAGATCAAGCAAATGAGATAATAAATATTGTCATAATTATGCTCACTGATAATTTTGACAAGAGAAATGGCTTTGGAGTGCTGTTTAAAAGATGGACTAGCAAGAGCTGGGGAAAGTGTGGGGCTGAGGAAGAGACCACGACTCCAGACAGCTAAGCACTAGGTGCTCTGCATTCCGAGATGGTGGGCATCCCATTATTACTTTCCCCAAGAGCCCACTTTTTCTACCTAGAGAAAAGTTTACTTTTATCTGGTACACAGGCATTCTGTTGTTATATTTACTGTGTACAATTTGTTTTAGAGGAAGCAAAATTGCTAAAACTCAAGACATTTCATGAGCAGTTGAAAAATCATACTGATGCTTACCAAGAGGGGACTCAGAACTCTTGAACGTGTGCAGAACTATTATAGGCACACCAGAAAGTTCACAGGCGGGCAGAGTGTGGCAGAAAGGATCACTCACCTGTTGATATTAGTATGGAGTAAGACTAAATTCCTGTTTTTCTGAAAATCCCGAGTGACATTAAAACTGCTTCTGTGTCTCGTTGGGGACGACACACCTCAGCCCTAGGTGCCGCTCACCCTTGGTGAGCTGTGGTTAGAATAGCTGATGTTGCTGTAGCAATAACTAGATAACCATGGCACAAAATAACGCTGTCACGATCTAAATCCACAACTTTACTGTGCAAGTTTAAATTAGCAGTAATAAAAGGAATGTGGTAAGGTTCTGAAGTGCTCAAATAATGTTACCCTTGATAAAAAGGAAATACTTTTGCAAACTTCTCATGGAATCCATCCTTGCAAGCAGGTATTTTAATTTTTCAGTGTTTTATCTTTGACTCCTGCCATGAAATGTGTCTTCAGTTGCTTTTAATGATGGCACTGACAGAGGGGTTTTGGCATATGGCATTGACATATCATTCAGATTCTTTTCCACTGCAGTTTGGGCTTGTTGGCAATTCTTTGGTGTCAAATGATTTTAATTTTCTGATGTAAGGCCTAATTTGCTTGTGAACATTCACAATGGCCCACGGATCTCGGCCCTGGATGAAGTGTATACACATACAGACCCTATTACAAGTAATACTTGCAGACAATGCCAAAAATCTGGTGTTTACATAATGCTTTGTATTGTTAGTTCAGTTTAAGGAGCCTGTCAAAACCTGTTATGAGGCTGACATTGTGCTAGGCACCGTACAGAAATTGTGGTCTGTGCCTAAAGGGCTTGTGGTCTAGCAAGAAGGGGGCAGAACTGGTAAAATAAACGGATTAAAGTAAGTGTGATCATGAATAGATGAAGTATGTGGAAGAAAGAAGCAGCGCAGAGGAGGGAGCCGTTGCTTCTGTGTGGTCGTGGGCTCACAGGATAAGATCAGAGGAGATTTTCATGAAGACATTGACAGCTGAATAAGATTTGAACCGTGAGTAAGACTCCTGATGGGCAGCCACCCAGGGGCAGGGCAGAAGCGGCAAACTAGACATGGAGTGTGTAGGGTGAGACATGAAAAACCACTGCAGGTCCGTGACCTGCCAGTTTTTTGGCCCTGACTGCATGTGGGCTGTGACCGAAATCACTCCATTTGATGAATAAAGTCCAAGGTGAAATTGAGGGGATGTCCATGGAGTTGAAGAGTTGGAGCATACGAGGGTGCAGAGTACTGGTATTGAAGCTACTCATCACATGGTACTGAAGTTACTCAGATGGTAACATACAGGGTGGGTCAGATTTCCTTTTAAATGAAGTAGAAGAGAAAATTAAAGAAGAGGCTAAGGATTCCTTGGAATTAATTGTATCAAAACCAGGATGCGAGTATGCCCAGGAGATGATTTTGGAAGGGGGAATTGAATGCTGGGCATGGTGGGTGAGGATACATGGGTGTAGGGGTGCCCACAGCAGGAGGGGAACCAACGTGTGAGAAAGAGATTAAACTGCTGGGACTTGTGTTTTGTCTTACATTTCAATAAATCCTAATCGAGGACTTACTGTGTGCAGTGCGCCATGCTTATTCTTGGGAAACAAACTCCTAAGATAGGAAAGGAGCTACAGGGTATGAATGTGGAAGGGGAAACAGCTCATGTCTCTGTGATGGTCTCTTTCCATGGGATGCCAAACCCTCAAGAGCAGCGCTTTCATATTTTCCAGAGTGAGTAGTATGCAGTAGATCTTAATGCATGTCCACCTATCAATCAAATGAATAGCACCTGCTCATTAAAAATTTCTATTTTGCATTATTCATTATTGTCCGTTGATTATGACACCACAACATGCAGCTATTTATTGTTTTCACGTAACGTTTAGTGTCCTGAAAAATGCTCATGATACAGTTTTGAAGTAAAATATGATTTTTTTTTTTTTTTTGAGACAGAGATTCACTCTTGTTACCCAGGCTAGAGTGCAATGGCGCGATCTCGGCTCACTGCTGCCTCCGCCTCCTGGGTTCAAGCAATTCTCCTGCCTCAGCCTCCCGAGTAGCTGGGACTACAGGCGCACACCACCATGCACAGCTAATTTTTGTATTTTTAGTAGACACGGGGTTTCACCTTGTTGACTAGGATGGTCTCGATCTCTTGACCTCGTGATCCACCCACCTCGGCCTCCCAAAGTGCTGGGATTACAGGTGTGATCCACCACACCCGGCCCAAAAAATGATTTTAAAAATTACATGTACAGTAAGATCCCAGTTTTATGAGTGAATGTGTGTGTGTGAGAGAGAGCGAAAGACATGGAGTGAGGGAGGGAAGGAAAGAATTGTCAAAATATTAGTGATGACTGTCTCTGGGTCATGAGATTAAAAAGACATTTATTTTCTTCGCCTTCCATGTTTTCTAAAATGTGTATAAACAATTTATAATCAAAGATACGATTTAAAATATTTTTTTCTCTAAAAATTAATATTATTCTGCCTTTAATTTTATATAGCATTTATAGTAAAAATGAAAATCCTAGTAGGTGTATCACAAAAGCCTTTCTCGCTGTGCTGCCTTTTTTTGATCACTGTTTATCCTTAAGAATTTCTTTCCGATGTTAATTGTTTTGCTCTGTGCTGCTGATGGCAACGGCTTAAACATTCTGCTTCCCTGATAAACAGCACCCTCCCCCCACACCTGCGGCCAACATTGAAAGGAAGTCTCCGCATCCTCTCTTTGTGTCACTGTGCACAGCACTGAGCTTTGCTTGTCTCTTTGCTGTTCATATCCTTATGGTTGTCATTTTCCATTCCAGTGCCCTTTCCATTTTATTTTATTTGTTATTATCGATCGTATTCTTCTTTTCTGGTAAAATGCTGCTTCTAAAACACGTCTGCGAACCATTCGTAGCTCTGCTTGGATATAGTTAAACATTTCATTGAATGTATTAAGACTATATTCCTTTGGTATCTGTAGTCCTCTCTTTGTACTCTCTCTGCAAGCAAGTACAACATTTGGACGCAAAATGTCATTCGAAAAGTCATGTGCGTAAGTCATAACTGTAGTCTATTGAGTTCGGCATCTGACTATGACGGTTGTTTTCCAAGGTAGTTTCAGAAGGTAGAAATGAAGGTCAAACATACTTATTTCTCTTTACTCTTTCCCTCCCTTCCTCTTTCCATCCTTCCTTCTTTCCTTCATTCCTTCTTCACTGGCCTGTATATTTTCAGCTTCCATAATACTCTGCCATCACCCTTACTCATCATTCACCTTATTTATTGGAGGTGTGTTTGTCTTCTCATTGGACTGGAAGCAACTCAAGGCAACAGTCCACATGTCATTCATATCTTAGGCTGTCTCCTGGGTTCACATCATGCCTTGCATATGGTTAGTCCTCAACAAGTGTAAAAATATATCTTACATTTAATTAAGAGTGACTTCATAGCTTTAGCAATATGAAAGATATATATATATATATATATAAAATATGTCAAATAATTATGCTCTGGGAGACAAGCTTCTATTAGAGAAATAGAGGCGGTTTTAAGACAAAAGATAAAAATATATTTTCTAGACTGTAGGGTTAATCAAATATTGTAATACATTACCAGGGAAGGAGGTAGAATCTCCACCCCTGGAGAGCCTTAACAATTGGACAGAGAAGACATCTGTGAAAATGGCAGAAGCACTAAACCTGTCTTGAGGCAAGTTAGGTAACAGGACGACAAATGCTTCTGCGATTCTTTGATTACTTGGCCTGAAGAAGAGAAGGCTGAGGGGAGACATTAAACTACTTCAGATATGGAAAGCAGCTATTATTGCTTTCCAGAGGAAAGCAAATTGAAGGAGTTTAACCTAAAGTCAGAGATTTAGTTTACATTTTATAGTTAAGGATTTAAAGTCATAGGTTGTGAAAAGCTTGTAGAGATCTGCAAAATAAATGATACTGATTTTTTGGTGAGATATGGAAAGTCAACTCTAGGATTCTGCTGCAGTGAAAATACTTTTTAATAATACTCGGAATAGAGAGAATTATTCCAATGCATTATACTGAGTGTACAGCATTCTCTTGGGAAAGGTAAATTTCTAAAAGTAGTATTTTAAAGCACCAAGCATTTTCACCGTTTTGTGGACAGGAGGGGGAACGGGGATGTGAATTTCTTCCCATCTCAATGCCGTACAAAGGGCTACATTAGTAAGTCAGTAGCCAAAGGGTGAACAGGAGCTTTGAGAGACTTTACCCTGTGGGATCAGCCTTGTTTTGACCCCTGGATGTTTTCTCAATGAAAATGTGAAACAGTTGGGGTGGGGTAGTCGTGGAGGGGGGCACAAAAATACTATCAACTAAAGAGCGAACCAAATATCTATTAAAAATAAGTATTTGATTGTAATGTCTGAATTCAGCCACAGGATGTCACAATTGGATTTTGATTTTCGCTGTGTGTTTGTCTCAATAGATGAAGGCATTTTCAAAGCTGGAGCAGGGAGGTCTGAAACCCGGGGGGCAGCAGAAGTCCAGGAAGATGAAGATACTCAGGTCGAGGTTCCAGTTGATCAGGTAACCTCCATGCCTAAAAAAATGTGTATAAGCCAATTGTGACTGTTTTTCTTTCAAGTTTTGTGTTATCTCCTACATACTGTTCCTATACCTGCATGAATTAAACCCTCTAACATACTGTGTGGCTGATCAACCTTAAAAACATGACAAAACACCCTTCCATTCTTTATCCTACTATTCCTGTGAAGAATAGCCATTTAGACCAAGTCTTTTTTGTAGAGTTGGGGTTTCACCGTGCTGGCCAGGATGGTCTCAATCTCCTGACTTCGTGATCCACCTGCCTCGGCCTCCTAAAGTGCTGGGATTACAAGCATGAGCCACCGGGCCCGGCCTAGACCAAGTCTTTTTTTTAAATTACAGAAAATGGTATATCCTTAATAAAGAGCACTGAAGAACAAGATGGGATGGGTTTAGGTATGAGATAAATAGTGATAAAGTTTGATACAAAAAAGAATATTGTTTTGAGATTGGCAGCTGAAAAAAGTCTTTACTCACTTAGAAAAGGATTTTTTATGCTCATGTACTCCAAAACCTAAAATCCAATAAAAATTAAAAAAAAAAAAAAAGAAAAGCATTTTTTAAAATTGTATTTTAAGTTCTGGGGTACATGTGTAGAATGTGCGGGTTTGTTACATAGGTGTACACGTGCCATGGTGGTTTGCTGCACCCATCAACCTGTCATCTACATTAGGTATTTCTCCTAAGGTTATCCCTCCCAAATCCCCCCACCCCCTGACAGGCTCCGGTGTGTGATGTTTTCCTCGCTGTGTCCATGTATTCTTATTATTTAACTCCCCTTTATGTGTGAGAACATGCGGTGTTTGGTTTTCTGTTCCTGTGTTAGTTTACGAAGAATGATGGTTTCCAGCTTCATCCATATCCCTGCAAAGGACATGAATTCATCCTCTTTTATGGCTGCATAGTATTCCATTGTATATATGTGCCACATTTTCCTTATCCAGTCTGTCATTGATGGGTATTTGGGTTGCTTCCAAGTCTTTGCTATGGTGAACAGTGCCGCAATAAACATACATGTGCCTGTGTCTTTCTAGTAGAATGATTTATAATCCTTTGGGTATATACCCAGTAATGAGATTGCTGGGTCAAATGATATTTCTGATTCTAGGTCCTTGAGAAATCAACACACCGTCTTCCACAATGTTTGAACTAATTTACACTCCCACCAACAGTGTAAAAGAGTTTCCTATTTCACATCCTCTCCAGCAGCTGTTGTTTATCTCATTGTGTTTCTTATTTACATTTCTCTAATGACCAGTGATGATGAGCTTTATTTCATATGTTTGTTGGCTGCATAAGTGTCTTCTTTTGAGAAGGTTTTGTTCATATCCTTTGCTTACTTTTTGATGGAGTTGTTTTTTTCTTGTAAATTTGTGTAAGTTCCCTGTAGATTCTGCATATTAGCCCTTTGTCAGATGGATAGATTGCAAATATTTCTCCCGTTCTGTAGGTTGCCTGTTCACTCCGATGTTAGTTTCTTTTGCTGTACAGAAGCTCTTTAGTTTAATTAGATCTTATTTGTCAATTTTGGCTTTTGTTGCCATTGCTTTTGGTGTTTAATTCATGAAGTCTTTGCCCATGCCTATGTCCTGAGTGGTATTTCCTGGGTTTTCTTCTAGGGTTTTTATGGTTTTAGGTCTTAACTTATGTCTTTAATCCATCTTGAGTTAATTTTTGTATAAGCTGTAAGGAAGAGGTCCAGTTTGAGTTTTCTGCATATGGCTAGCCAGTTTTCCCAACACCATTTATTCAATAGGGAATCCTTTCTCCATTGCTTGATTTCGCCATGTTTATCAAAGATCTGATGGTTGTAGATGTATGTGTGTGTTATTTCTGAGGCCTCTGTTCTGTTTCATTTTCTGTATATCTGTTTTGGTACCAGTATCATGTTGTTTTGGTTACTGTAGCCTTGTAGTATAGTTCGAAGTCAGATAGTGTGATGCCACCAGCTTCGTTCTTTTTGCTTGGGATTGTCATGGCTATATCGGCTCTTTTTGATTCCACTTGAAATTTAAAGTAGTTTTTTCTAATTCTATGAAGAAAGTCAGTGGTAGCTTGATGGGAATAGCATTGAATCTATAGATTACTTTGGGCAGTATGGCCATTTTCACAATATTGATTCTTTCTATCCATGAGCATGCAATGTTTTTCCATTTGTTTATGTCCTCTCTTATTTCCTTGATCAATGGTTTGTAGTTTGGAAGAGATCCTTCACATCCCTTGTAAGTTGTATTCCTAAATATTCCCTTTGTAGCAGTTGTGAATGGGAGTTCACTCATGATTTGTTTCTCTGTCTGTCTATTATTGGTGTATAGGAATGCCCATAATTTTTGCACATTGATTTTGTATCCTGAGACTTTGCTGAATTACTTATCAGCTTAGGAGATTTTGAACTGAGATGATGGGGTCTTCTAAATACACATTCATGTCATCTGCAAACAGAGACAATTTGACTTCCTCTATTCCTATTTGAATACCCTTTATTTCTTTCTCTTGCCTGCTTGCTTCCAGAACTTTCAATACTATGTTGAATAGGAGTGGTGAGAGAGGACATCCTTGAGGTGTGCTGGTTTTCAAAGGGAATGCTTCCAGCTTTTTCCCATTCAGTATGATACTGGTTGTGTGTTTATCATAAATAGCTCTTATTATTTTGAGATTCGTTCCATCAACGCCTAGTTTATTGAGGGATTTTTTTTTTTTTTTTAGTATGAAGGGATGTTGAATTTCATTGATGGCCTTTTCTGCATCTATTTAGATAATCATGTGGCTTTTGTCATTGGTTCTGTTTAGGTGATGGATTACATTTACTGATTTGCGTATGTCAAACCAGCCTTGCATCCCAGAGAGAAAGCTGACTTCATCGTTGCAGATAAGCTTTGGATGTACTGCAGGCTTTGATTTTCCAGTATTATATTGAGGATTCTGGCATTGATGTTCATCAGGACTATTGGTCTGAAATTTTCTTATTTTGTTGTGTCTCTGCCAAGTTTTGGTATCAGGATGATGCTATAAAACGAGTTAGGGAGGAGTCCCTCTTTTTCTCTTGTTTGGAATAGTTTCAGAAGGAATGGTACCAGGTCCCCTTTGTACCTCTAGTAGAATTCGGCTGTGAATCTGTCTGGTCCTGGGCTTTTTTGGTTGGTAGGCTATTAATTACTGCCTCAATTTCAGAACTTGTTATTGGTCTACTCAGGGATTCGACTTCTTCCTGGTTTAGTCTTGGGAAGGTGTATGTGTCCAGGAATTTATCCAATTTTTTCTAGATGTTCTAGTTTATTTGCATAGAAGTGTTTACAGTATTCTCTGATGGTAGTTTGTATTTCTGTGGGATCAGAGGTGATATCCCCTTTATCATGTTTTATTGTGTCTATTTAATACTTCTCCCTTTTCTTTATTAGTCTGGCTAGTGGTCTATTTTGTTAATCTTTAAAAAAAAAACCCAGCTCCTGTATTCATTGGGTTTTTGAATGGCTTTTCGTGTCTCTGTCTCCTTCAGTTCTGCTCTGATCTTAGTTATTTCTTGTCTTCTGCTAGCTTTTGAATTTATTTGCTCTTGCTTCTCTGGTTCTTTTAACTGTGCTGTTAAGGTGTTGATTTTAGATCTTTCTCACTTTCTCCTGTAGGCATTTAGTGCTATAAATTTCCCTCTACACACTGCTTTTGCTGTGTCCCAGAGATTTTTGTACATTGCGTCCTGATTCTCACTGATTTTAAGGAACTTACTTATTTCTGCCTTAATTTCATTATTTACCCACTAGTCATTCAGTGTTCAGTTTCTGTGTAGTTGTGTGGTTTTCAGTGAGTTTCTCAATCCTGGGTTCTAATTTGATTGCACTGTAGTCTGAGAGATTCTTTATTATGATTTCCATTCTTTTGCATTTACTAAGGAGTGTTTTACTTCCAATTATGTGGTCAGTTTTAGAATAAGTGTACTGTGGTGCTGAGAAGAATGTATATTCTGTTGATTTGAAGTGGAAGGTTCTGTAGATATCTGTTAGGTCTGCTTGGTGCAAAGCTAAGTGAGTTCAAGTCCTGAATATCCTTGTTAATTTTCTGTTCTGTTAGTCTGTCTAATATTGACAGTGGGCTGTTATAGTCTCCCACTATTATTGTGTGGGAGTCTAAGAACTTGCTCTGTGAATCCAGGTGCTCCTGTATTGGGTGCATATGTATTTAGGATAGTTAGCTCATCTTGTTGCATTGATGCCTTTACTGTTATGTAATACCCTTGTCTTTTTTGATCTTTATTGGTTTAAAGTCTATTTTATCAGAGACTACAATTGCAACCCCTGCTTCTTTGTGATTTCCATTTGCTTGGTAAATATTCCTCCATTCCTCCATTCCTCCATTCCTTTCCTCCATGTCTTTGCACATGAGAGGGGTCTCCTGAATACAGCACACTGATGATGGATCTTGACTCTTTAACCACTTTGCCAGTCTGTGTCTTTTCATTGGGGCATTTATGGTTAATATTGTTAGGTGTGCATTTGATCCAGTCATAATGCTAGCTGGTTGTTTTGCTCTTTAGTTGATGCAGTTTCTTCATAGTGTCAAGCATCTTTACAATTGGGTATGTTTTTTCAATGGCTGGTACCAGCTTTTCCTTTCCATATTTAGCGCTTCCTTCAGGAGCTCTTGGAATGCAGGCCTGGTGGTGACCGGATCTCTCAACATTTGCTTGTCTGTAAAGGATTTTGTTTCTTCTTCACTTACGAAGCTTAGTTTGGCTGGATATGAAATTCTGGGTTGAAAATTCTTTTCTTTAAGAATGTTGAATATTGGCCCCCACTCTCTTCTGGCTTGTAGCGTTTTGGCAGAGAGATCTGCTGTGAGTCTGATCGGCTTCCTTTTGTGGGTAATATGACCTTTCTCTCTGGCTGCCCTTAGCATTTTTTTTTCCTTCATTTCAACCTAGGTGAATCTCATGATTATGTGTCTTGGGGTTGCTCTTCTTGAGGAGTATCTTTGTCGTACTCTCTGTA